TCAAATAGTCACAATTTGAATCAAACGCCTCCATTGTATCCTGAGAGAGATTTTCTATCATACCCCGGTCGTGACTTTGTTGGAAAGGGGAGAAACATCTCTTAAAAGATAATGTTTTTTCGTGCCTTGGAGTTCATTAATTTTTTCCAGATTTTATTACATATTTCCAACAGAAAGTAATGAATCCTAATACGTTGATGAAGCTCTGATGGCTTTAACGGCTAGTATGGAAGAAGAGGACGATGATGAACTGTCTTCAGGCGCTGGTGAGGAGGGGTAAAATTGTAATTAAAGTTGTTCAAGCATTCAAAAACATCTTCCCATAAGAGTTGTAGAAAACCTACCCACTTGTCGTTGTTGCCTTCTCTTGTACGCAATATACACTAGAATCGGAACTTATAAGTGATTTATTCGTTTCTTTCTTCACTTATAATCAATTTTCGCGTTCCGAAAAAATCAAAATCAAATTTTGGAATTTCTGTTTCTTTCGCTCTCCGATTTGTCTCCAATTTTACCTCAAGAAGTGGTGGTGGTGGTAGCTGTAATGAAGACGACGGCAAAAGGTGAGGTGATTGATGGCCGACCGACCGATGGTAGGAGGTGGGCATTTCTTGGTTTCATTTTGATTATGGGTTGGGGCATAGGGGGCATGTAGGGTTGGGCTGAAGTTTTGTTTCAGTTTTTTTTTTTTTTTAATTTTTTAATTGTTTATAATAGGAAAATCTAAACTTATGATTTCACCCCTTTCATTTTGGTCAAAATTGATTAAAGTCGACTTTTATTGGTCAACTAACGGTGTTTTGGACGGTTTTCGTCAAGATGGACCGCAAATGCATATTTACGAAAGGTTATGGACCTTCGTGGTAAAGTCTGTAAAAATTGAAAAGGTTAGGGATCGTTGTTACAATTTTCCCTAGAAAATGCTGTGTTATTTCGTGCCGGAACAAAAATTGTGGTAGAAAAGTGAGTACTACTTGTGGATTCTATTGAAAAATATATTGATTTAAATGTATGTTTTTAACCAAGATGTTTATAAACATTTAAAAACAATGAGCCATAAGCTAAATCATAGAATAGGTAAATCTCGACTCCAAGTGAGTATTGGCCTTGATGATATGCAATACTTCCGACTTGGTGAATAATATCCATAACGTCAAATTACAAGATGGAAATTTTTCGTCAAATTCTTGATGTCTTAATTCATAAAATCAAAATAGGTTGCTTACTATGTTTGAACATAAGAGCATGTTTGTTTCCCATTTTTATAGTACAAATGCATTTTGGAATAGTAGGTTGATTGAGAATGTGTGGTTAAAAAATAAAGAATTTTTTTTAGATTTACGTATAATATTATTTTATTTGAGAATGTATGATTAAAAAGAAAAATGAGTAACAAACCAGGGGTAAATAAGGATTTTTTTTGTTACAATTTTGTCTCTCCTTTGGCAGTAAGATTATTAATTTGAATTATTCAGCCCCTTCTTGTAAAGTTATCAAGGGCCATTTGACATGGCTTTGAGAACTCAAAATGAGATTTTAAGATTCAAAAGCTGATTTTGAATCCGTTTGATTAGTTTTATAAAAGTATTTCTTCAATTTATATAGGAAACTAACTTCCTCTAAAATCTCTTTCGGAAGAAGATGTTACTTTGAAATTTAGTTTCCAAACACCAATTATCATAATAGTTTCCTCAAAGATCTCTTCTAGTAAGAAATAGAAGCAAAAATAAAAAATAAAAACATACCAAACGAACCTTAAGAGCCTGTTTAGCAAGACTTTTGAAAATTAAAAACTGATATTGAGACGAAGAATTTATGTTTGATCCCATTTGAATACTTTTTTTGAAGTGCTTTGTTTAGTTAGAAGAGTTTTTAAAAGAAGCCCACCTAACATAACTTTCTCAAAAAAAAGTATTTTACAAGACTACAAGAATCAAAAGCATAAATATTGTCAAAGTAATCTATGAAGAAAATGTAGTATGAATTCATTAGACGATATCTAAATTTTAATAAATCTCACTACAAAATGAAAACATGGCATCAGCTCAATCATAAAAATCCATGGAAAATTTCCCACTGGTCATAAAAACCTACATCGTAAAAGGTAACAATGGATTTTATGTTAGAAATCTTAGTCGCCAAAAAAGTGTTAAGTTGTATAGTCTAATTATTGTCGATTATAATTATTGTCATTTTGCGGAGCTGGTCGCAGATCGACCTCCATGATGACATCGTGTGAGGGTTGGAAGGGGGCAAGAGGCTCCCCTCCCTAGGGAGTGCGAGGGGCTCTGCCCCCAGACCAAAATTTAATTCGAGAACTGTTTAGAAATTAGTATTCTTATAAAATTATATAAATTAATTAGAATTTAGAGCTCTTGGAGGATTAGTTTTTGCTCTAATTTATTTTATAAATTGGGAGCCGTTCTTAACATTAAATTTAGAGATCTTCTTTTGTAAACATTTTTTCATCGCAATGAATTGCTATCGTGATAGGAGATGACGTAATTTAACATTAAGACGAACCTATATAAATCTTGTGTGTTCTTGAGTATTTATTTTTTTTTTTAAATTGATTGCTCTCATTGAAATATAATTAAGGTTTAAAATTATCAAAAGGAAATATTAGCTTAATTGGCAATTTATTTTTAAAAATCGCAACTATATTTTCAATGCTAATAATTTCTTAAAATTTAACAAGCAATTAAAATACGCCCATTGCTGATTACTTACTTTCCCCCTATTTGGTGAGGATTAAAAAATAATTTTTAGTAAATTTTGATAAAAGTTGATGAAATACGTGGTTGAAAAGTTGTTTGTCATATGAAATATGTGGTTTAAAATTAATTATTGATTTTGACTTGAATTAAAATTGAGATTTTAATTTCTGCCAATCAGGATCTCTGTATAAAATGATATTGATTGATTAAATTTGTCACATTTTTTTTTTTTGAATTATAATTAATTTCAATGGAAACTAATCCGTTGCAAGCTAGTCTTTACATTTTATTCATTCTTTCAAAAAATAGATTAAAATTTTTAAATTTGTTTATGAATTTTACATGAAAAAAATTGGTTTCTTTTAGAAATAAATTTATTAAATATTCAAGGGCACTCTTGTCACTATGAAAACAGTCATACATTTCTAGAAATTTTTTTGTACATAGATACGTTTATACCAATCTATGCAATATATTATGTACTTGGTGATCGTGTGGCAAGATCAATTTTTTTTTTTTTTTTCATATATAGAACCATTTTTAATTTCATCAGTATTTTCTAGTAGAAGTAATATTTTAATTACTGATTTTATCGACTCGGAAATGTAAAGAGTCAAAATTTATATTGGGAGTTGGTGATAAAAGAATTTTGTGAATAAAAGAAATTCTACCTCATTTGAAAAATGAATAGATTGAGTAAGTTTCGAGTAATGCGATTTTTCAGGTGAAGCGATCGATTCTGAGACTCTTTTATTAAGTTTTAATTTTTGAGTAATGTAATTGGATTTTGAACAATTCTCACAATTTTTCTTATTGGCCTATGTTTGCTTTGTCGTTTATTCGTAACAAGGTAGCTACAGTGTGTGGATGAAAACTCCCGCAATGCTTGTTTGTTGCAACGTGCCTAATCCTTACAATATTGATGCCTGACAAGAAAGGAAGGTGAGCTTTTAGAATTTATTTAAAATTTTGTGTACATCGATTTCTCCATCTACCCCACGTTTGAAAGGTTGTTGGGCTCGTTCAGTATGATTTTTTTAAAAAAAAGTTAAAAAGCTACTTTTGAAATTAATAAGTTATTTTTGAACGTGTTTAAATAGTTTTTTAAAAGTACTTTATTTGACTAAAATAATTTTTAGATAAAGTTGACATAAAAAAATGAGTTAGTCTATGAGCACCAAAAAAAATCAACAAAAAATACACTTGGACCATTTTCATTGAAAGAAAAAAAAAATAGACAAGCAGGCGAACAAGGTGCTGACGTAGTGGTGATAATCGAGTCGAGCGGCTCGTCGACTCAGCTCGTACTGTAGCGATCCAC